AAAATTTTGCCTAATTTATTAAAAAAAAAAAAAAAAGAAAACGCTTGACAGTTATATTTTACTTCGGATTTTTTTATGACAATCTTATAGACAAGATAACATAGTGGGATCGTCTCAGGATTGTTGGCAAAATGTTCGTCAGTGACGGGTCAAGCGTGAGTATATCCCGGAAAAATGTTTATTTTTGCAAGTATACGATGTACATAGTATGCATCTAGCAAGCTGCTTACCTGGTAACCACTCGGAGTTACCTGACACGTGTATAATTAATGCCCGTGATGACGAGGCGCGACACTCGCGCGCGCACGCTCATGGATTATCTGTGCCGGCAAAAAAAAGCAGGAGAATGAGTTATGCGAAGCTCAGGATTGCGAAAGGGAGGAAAAAAAGAGAAGTGATAAAAGATGAGAGAGGAACAAACGCGTTGGAAGGAAGATGAAGCGATTCTTGCCGAATGGATGCCGAGGAGAACGAAAGGAAAGATCGGACTAGGGAAAGGGGAGTGACGAGCAGGAAAGTTGTCCAAGTAACCGACGTGGAAACGTGGGATAATGACTACTTTTTCATATTTTAATTACGCAGTAATTAATTGAAATGTTTCCTCATTCGTGAGAGCACTCGAGCAAAATGAGAGGCGAGTAACTCTCCGCGAAGTCGGCTTCGGTTCGTTTTTTTTCCTTTCTTCGAAGCAACTCTGCGAATTTTCTCTGTTTCTGCCATGTTCGACCTGAGGATATTTCGTTTCCTTCGTTCTTTCACCTTTTCTCGCAAAATTAGGTAGAAATCCTTTCATAGAGGATTCATTTCTCTCTCTCTCTTTTTTTCTTTTTTAAAAATTCCAACGTGTGGCTAATTATATCACTAATGGCCTAATCGTGAAAGGATTCTTCTGATAATCTGACCTCTATGTCTCCAACACTTCTGTCATCGCACCCTTTTCCTCATCTATTATCCGCGACCGTGTGCATCATGCTTAAAGTACTAATTAAATTAGTTTCGTAAAGCGAAACTCGTCGGCCAGACTTTCGATGCTATCGATTCGTGGCGATCATTAAAATAATTACAGATGTTCGTCGGTAATTGCACGGATACTTGGTTGCTTTCGCGTTACAAATATTGTCTATAAATTGTCACAATATTGTCAGTGATGATAACTCACAAAAACAGTTATTGAATGCTAAAATTTATGATAAATAATAAGAGATTTAAAAATGTTCGATTCATGTTAAGTTGTTTATATATATATAAATATAATATCATTACATTTTTATTGGAATTGTCAGATAATTTATTGTTATTGAAATATAAGACAAACATAAAAATTTTTGTTTTTTTCAATTTCATAATTTTTAAATGATTGTTTTGTTCATTAAAAAGATGTATGTTTAATATAAACTTCTTCAATTTTATTTCAAACTACTAATGCAAATCACTATAAGTAATATTTATTTGCAAAAGTAATGAATTTAAAAGAAAAAAGTTTTCTGATTACATATTTTAATTAGATTTTAATTAGATTAGATTTTCATCTTTATACTTTGTAAAAAAAAAAAATCATTTATTTCTTCATCGAAATTCTCTCATGCAAATTATATATTTGACTTTTCTTCATTTCTTTCACAATTATCATTTATTTAGATTTTTTAAATATAATTTAGCAAATACTTTCAAATATTAAAAGAGACACAAAAATATTAACGATTTCCTTATATTAATAAATTTTTTTTCAGATGATTTTAAAATTATCAAAAAAATAGAAATCGAAAAATAATAAATATTTCAAAGAATAAAAATTATTTCTTTCTAAATAAATAGTAATTTTATATAATAATTATATATAATTATTATTTTTATTTTTTATTACCAGTTATGTTTTTCAAGACAAATTCAATGATATATAGATATAATTATTTTTGATCAATAATATAATTGTTTTTTTTATAATTCACAAAATAATAACCTGTCTAACACGAGTAAATTGCACATATTATATATTAAACTTCGATAAAATTCAATAAATATATCATACATATAATCGTTTCACATTGGAAAGTATTTGCGTAATTTTCCAGTGGCTTAATTTTCAGTGGATTTCTTACGATTCCTAGAAGTTTACTCTTATTCGATATTCCAGGGAACGTTTCGGGCTAGCTGTCTCGATACCTCGAGAGGTACGAAGGACGCTTCGTTACTCGTTACCTGATGCTGACGCTCGTTGCAATAGCAAGGGAACAATAGCGAGATGAGAAATAAGAAGGAGACGGAAAGAGATAGCCAAAACGAGGACTGGTAGGCACGCTTTTGTTAGCGAGGATGCTTGCTTGCTACGTACAATTGTCATCTACTTGTTCCAGCTATTGTTTCCGGTAACTCTTTCGCGGTAACGAGGAGGAACCTCAATTAGAATGGTTTGAGGACTTAAACGCCCAGAGGCTGCCGGGTTTTAAGAGGTAGCGAACATTGTTTCTTTTGAGCGATAACTCGGTGATACTTTTAGCTATATCGCGAAACATCGTGCACCAACTTCTTTGGTGGATAATTACTAGGCACGCTTGAGGGTATGATACTGTTACACTCTCTACGAATAAGTCATCGTTAATGTTATCAAAACTTTTCTTTTTAATTGACGTCAATATATATTTTTTTTTAAATTAGCACATGCCATCAACATAAAACTAAAACTTGTAAAACTTGTTCGGTTAAAATAAATAAAATAATTGATATTATTTGTTGAAAAGTGATTTCTTATATATCATATATTATATTAATTAAAATTATATTAATCTGAAATTACATTGATTTTGTGTTTCTTTTTATTTTTATTTGTTTATTTGATAATTACTTTATTTTTAATTAGTTAATATTTTATTTATATTTTATAGCTTCATTGAAATAATTAAAAAACATAAAACGATTCATTATTATAATTTAAGCTTTTTACTTGTGTATATCTTATTTAATTTTCTACCTTAATTAAAAATAATTTCAATTACAGTATTTCATTAGAAATTTTAAATAGAATTAATAGATTAAATAAAAAATGATTTTAGATCATGAATTTTAAAAATAATACAAAGATATATCTTTATTCCTTGGCTGATATCCTGGTATACAATTTGATATATGCTCTAACATCAACTCTCAAAGTATGAGTACAGTGACTGAATCAAAAGTGATCCATATGGATAGATCTAAAGTTATTTAATTTTTGTTATTTAATTAATATTATTGTCAAGTCGATTTGGATCAAAATTGATCTAGTTATTATGAGAATTAAGTTTGCTGCATGAAATTTTAATAAATATTTTGATCCAATAAAATTATTTTTAAATCTGTTTATAATTTACGAAACATCTTTCCAATATAACAAACATTGAATTGATTACTTAATTGATTTTGAATAGACTATAATTTACTTACTTAATTCTAGATACTCGTTTCATTAATGGCACGAAAAGTAGGCAATTTTGCGACCCGCCGATTGAAGCGAATCAATATTTGTTTCATTCGAGAACAGCCACAGAGTAGCGTCCTATATACACTGTGTACGTATAGCTGTGTTGTCTGTTATCGGAAATCCATCCGAATATCTGGAATTTTTTTCGGTGGCATGCACGACTCGTTTTATGATCGCCTGTGATACACGACTGAAATTAAGATGTACAGAAGACGAAATACGTTCGATAAAAAATAACAAACTGTGACAAGAAAGAAACGTGATATCTTTTGCCTCTTTTTGTCTTTTTTTTTTTTTTTTTTT